GGGTTTTAGGGTTTTGGGTTTGAGGTCAAGGCTAAGACGGGATGGCTGAAGGTTTTGGGAATGATGGTTGCAGACACGCTTCCCGGTGTAGGCAGAACCCACAAAGCCCCAAGCTCTATGGGCAGGGATCCAGCTGTCAGGCTTTAGAATTTCCTGACGTGGACGTTTTCGCAAGACACCCGAAACCTGCAGCCCTCCATCGAAAGGATTCCAGGTTTATGGTCTCAGGCTTGAGGGCGAGGTGTGCAGGTCAGGATTTCATCCGTCCCAACCATGTAACCTACATGCAATATTCAATATACCCTTACATTCTACTTCGGCGGATCGCCTTTCGTAGGCTTGGCGCTTGATGGCATTGAAAGCACACCTTGGGTGTGGATCGTGTCAAGGCCGAGAGCTTCATCTTGCCTAGACGTGACGACACGTGGGGTGTCAGAAACTTCCCAACATGAACGGTTTTGGGTTTAGAGGCTCAGGATTGGGGTTTAGGGGCTTATGGTTTAGGGTTTTTCGGTTTAGGGGCTTAGGAGGCGGCGTTTCGGACACAGCGGACTCCAATCTAGAATCGTATAACTACTGTAGCAGGATCCCGCAAAACATCGGCCCCGCACCTTTTTCTCTGAACCTCGCCATTTATGCAAGGATCGGGATCCCGACGAGAAGCAGGAGATAGCGACTGAGCTGCCAGCACGAGCGAGTTCTGGTAGTTCAGTTCTGCCGAAACTGAGGTGTAAGATCGTTTGATTAAGGTTTAGGGTGTACCTTAAGAACCCAAAACCTACTTTTTTGTAGGGTCCCTATAGATCCCATATTAGGGTCTATAATAAGAACCTACAAAAAAGTGGAGGTTTTGGGTTCTTAAGGTAGGTCTTGGGGTGGTGGCCAGCATTGGCCTCCGTGGCTCGCAATGAATCGATGCAGTTGATGCACTCTTTGAACCCAGACCCCCTAGGAGTACCTAGGAAGTTGAGGCCCTAATTTGGGAACCTATACTACTCAATTCCTCGAACCCTAAACCCTAAACTGCGCAAGCGTATTCTATAGGAATTTCTTAAGAGATCTACTTTTTGGATACTCTCAATAGCCCTCGGAATGAACCCCATCTCCCGCACAGTTCCTTGGTGCTTTGCCACTGTCGCTCTTGCTCGTATTGCGCAGCCGCCAAACTTAGTTCCTGAAGCTTATATGCAGTCAAAGAAGTTCAGTAAGAAGCCTAGACCTTATGCTCCCAGACCCTGAACCATTGCAGAATCGGCGGACAGCACTAAACTAAACCCTATACGCGTACTTTGCACAAACCCCCTCAAGAAAGCTCCAGAGAAGCGAAACATCTAAACCCGAAGCTCTTATTGGAACCGTTACAGGACCCTGACGGAAACCCGCATAATACAGGGGCCTTAATAATTACCTATACTATGCTGGGGGTGCCTTGTTATATTTAAACTATAAAGGACCCCAAACCCTAGTCTGATTATCAAGGCCCCTACATTAGATTAGGCTGTAGGAGTGTCCTTGCTGTCGGGCCCGCGGCTTACGGACTCAAGGCTTATACTCGGCTGGCGCCCACAGCTTGAGCTCGACGGTTGAGGGTTTAGGTTTCTTAGCTCTTAGGATTTAGGGGTTGTACAGGGGCTCCTACAAAGGTTTCTATCGGGTCTTTGTGGCATTGATTGAGGTGTTTAGTATTAGGATCTCGAGTGTTTGGAGGGTTAACGTTCAGGGAGCTCTCATGTCAAAGTCGGCTTGAGGGAGTCCCGGTTGCCGGGAACTAGCTCACAGATTGCGTGCACATTCTCAAAACGAAAAATGCTCGTGTTGAGTTTGGTTCGAAGACGTTCAATTGCCGATAGCGTTCCGCAAGATTTCTGAGCCCCAATTCCTCTGTAAGAGTTCTGTGGAAGGGTTCCCATAGAATTGATATGGGTTGGCACATCCTTCAATTTGCTGCTTGTAAGCTTTTTCTCAAGATCGCCGTTCATTCGCGTTCACATGTCCGGTGCCTGAAATGCTTCCCATTCATACAACCAACTCAAACTCGAAACTCACACCTAAATCCGTGCACTGCCCCTATAGCTCACCACCGAGCAGCTTCGGGGTTCATTGGGGGTTTTAAAGGCTTTGGTGTTCGTGGCAGTGATTGGTAAGTTTTGGTTGTGAGGTGTAGGTGGATCACGAGCCGAGACCCAGGTGACTCCTGCGGTCCACCTCAGCGAATTCGTCAATCTCCTTAGCGACGCTCGTTGCTACATGGCAGTTCCGACACACAAGCTGCCCCCCAAACCCTGAACCGAGCCTCTCCACGGGTACGGTCGACCCCAGACCCCTGGACAAGCGTAGTTAACAGTTACAGCTGTTCCGCTTCGGATGACAGCTTTCTGTGAACTCCGGCTGCTTTCTTGGGCGTCCTAGCCATATGGTTTTACTTTGCGCCCAGGCTTGCTATAGCCATTTCCTTTGCTGTCATGCTCCTATCTTCTGTTTGAAGCCTGTGCGACCCGGGCCTCTTCCGAGAGAGCAAGAACCCATCTTGCGCATGGGCATGCCACAATGAAAGCCAGTGCAGACGTAAATCTCCGGTAGACGTTAGCAGCTATACGGCTATACGGCGTAAGTTGAGGTTGGCTGCGGGAAATAAGCATCGGTGCGGCCTGTGGTGCGTTGCACCCTCCACCCTACACCCTAAACCGGTCCCGAACCCCCATATAGGGTACTAGAGCCCCGAGAGCCCCATATAGGGTACTAGAGCCCCTAGAGCCCCATATAGGGTACTAGAGCCCCTAGAGCCCCATGTAGTAGGTACCTGGGGGGTTGGGGTCTTTCTAAGCCAGATTTGGGCAGCGCGGGTCACGAATCGGAGTGCTAAGGTGCCGAAAGCCAGAAAAACGACTTTCCGTCCTATGTCAGCCTTTTGGAGAGCCATATGGTAGTCCGAAAACCCATCAAAGCCCAATTCTGTTAGGCCATATGTATATGCCAAGGCCTACATGCAGAGTCCAAAAATGTTCTAGTCCAGTGATGAAGCCCTTCTGAAGTATGAATCCTGTGAATACCCTGTGAGCCCGGATACGCTTTTCGTAGCTTTGTGTCACCACCTTGCTATGCAAATGCCAGTTACCCTTCTCACCCTTTGACACCAGGATTCTTCAAAACCCCAAGTACTCGTAAAGAACCCGTCAACGAGCCCTTTGAGAACAGCAGAAATCTTAAATCTTAAATCTTTCAAAGGAACCTTGAAGAACCCCTACGGAAGCTTTTTGAGCCGATATGAAGCTCAAATACCGGAACCCTAAGCCCTAACCCTACAGCCTTAGCGCAAGGGAAAAACCCAACGGCCTTAGCCCTCAACCCTATAAACCGAAAAGTCACTACAACCCCACAGCAGAAAGCCTCAACCTCTACAGCCTAAGCCCTAAACCCCCGCAGCTGTGACCTAATCCATAAAGGGGACCCTACTATAGAACCCTGTAGTACCCTTAAAGGGGACCCTATTATAGAACCCTATATAGTACCCTTAAAATTTGAGCCCAGGAGAAGATGCAGGATTTTCGTGCGCAAGTGGGCCCCTGGATTTGGCCCTTGCACGACAGCCGCTTTGCTCAGAAACATTTCTTCTCGAGTAGGGGGTCCTCTTTTAGGGCTTAGGGTTTTGCTATTAGGCTTTCAGAGGCTGGTTTAGTGGTTCCTGAAAGGGTTGCTTTGCAGATGCCTTGAAGGGATCTCGAAGGTTTGAGGCTATCTTAGGGAGCAAAGACAGCTTCTGGGGGTTGGGGTTTAAAGGACCCAAAGGGGTCGCCATGTGGGTATTTCTCTAAATTAGTCCCCTTTAAAGTAGTTGGGACCCAACAAAACCCCTACGTTAACGAACTACCCATGTGAGTCATCATTTTGAGGGAGTACATGATCATTACGCACGAGCTTGGGGCTTATCTGAATGGCTTTCAGGCTTAGGACACTTCCAGGAGAGGGGGTTGTAGAAGTTTAGGTTTGGCGTCAGGCAATGGAGGGATAGGTCGTGTTTCTCGGGCATGGAACTTCGTCTGTTTCTCTGCGTATGCGAAAGTTGTTTGATGTTCGTTTCACTTGCATTGGACAAGCCGCGGCATCAGTTTAAACCATACCTCGTCGCTGCTTTTCTATATGCCAGCCGTTAATCCACTTTTGAACAAAGCGTCTATGCAGGTGGCTTGCGGGTTCCTGTATGGGATCACAGATCCGAGAGTTTCGGAAGCGTGCTTGCGAGATGTGTTTTGGAGAACATATATAGATAGATACTTAGATAGATCAATAGACGGACGAAGAGGTAGATACAAAGATACGCATATGTACTTCTCGATGTACTCCCAACTCTCCGATAGCAGGAATGTCAACCGTCTAGCGAGTCTACCGACCTCGGCAACGGAAGACTAATGACAAAATTACACCTAACTAAGCCCGAAACCCTAAGCTATAAACCCTCAACCCTAAGACCCTGTAAGCCCCAAGCCCTCACCCTAGTTTGGGCAAGGCGATGTTGCTTCTGCCATCGCCGCTTCCTCGGAATTGGGCTGGGGACGTTCGCGGCCTTCGCGGCTATATTCGCATGTGCGGAACTGTATACTAAAACTCTGGGTATTGCTGCTTGAGGCCTGGAGGTTTCTCGCACGGGGTCTACCTTTGTTTCTAAATGCAAGCCTTCTTTTTGCTGCTTCTGTCCCAGTTCGAAGCAGCCCAAACACCCCAAAACCCTCATACCCGAAACTTGAACCCCAAACCCTACAAGCTTTTTCACCAGTGGTGCTCGCGGACCATGTCGGATCAGAGCAGGGCTTTTGCGATATGGGCGCTATAGAGCCCACTTTGTTGGGGGCCCTCTAGTATGATCTCCGTACAAAAGTCCTTAAATGGCTTCGGTTTTCAGGATCCAGGTAGAGTCAATACTCATCACTCTAAGGAATGAAGAGGCATCTTTCGTTGGTCAGAAAGACGCTTGATAATAATAATAATTAGAGTAAGAAGGACCCACCCCCCAAAAAAAAAGAAACAAAAAAAACATATATAGGTAATTATTTAGGCCCCTATATTACCCGTGCCAACATCCCGGACCATTTGATTCTGGAGATGCTCACTCACTACGAAGCGGTAATCTGCGGCACCGGGTGCTGCAGGAGCGTTCCTAGGCTCGTCCTTATTTCTCGAGCAAGCTGAAGCTGCAGCACTGGACATCCATGCAATGAAGGGAATAAGGGTAAATACCTACCTTAACCTACCAAAGCCCACTTTTCTGTAGGTTCTTATCATAAACCCTAATATGGGATTTATAGGGAACCACAAACAAACAAGTTCTGGTAGGTTAAGGTATAGTTCAAGAATACCCCGCTTGAATGAGAAGGTGACATATCAAGGCATGCTTCAAATTTCCACCTGCAACCTGAGATCCCCCTACCAGTCAAGCCTGCCTCATTAGCCCTGAAGGAGGAGCCCTCCACAGTCTACCGGAATCGAGAGATGACGAATCTTCTCCCTACTACAAACTCTCGAACTATAGACTCTATACTCTAAAGCTCTAAGCTCTGCAACCGTAACTCGTTGCACGCGCGTCTTGGCCCCCCGGACACTGAAAGCTGCATCCGGAACCTAAGCCTTCTTGAATCCTCAGGTGTTGAGTGAAGTGACAGACAATCACGCCGCTATGTGGCGCAAGGCGGTTTGGGCAATGGTCCTGAATTTAATCCAGTTGTCCCTACGGTTCAATGCAAGGCACGAATCGCACATGAGACATGGTGTTTCGCATTGCCTAAACTCTAGAATCCAAAACCTTGAAGTGTTGGTCCCGTAGGGCTTTCGAGTCTGTTGACAAAAAGACCGAATGTGAACGCATGAAGGGATGCTCTACCTTAAGAACCCCAAAACCCACTTTTTTTGTAGGTTCTTATTATAAACCCTAATATGGGATTTATAGGGACCCTACAAAAAAAGGTAGGTTTTGGGTTCTTAAGGTAGGCTTCGGATTTTGGGCCGATGGCATGTGCGTAGTGGCGAGACTTCGGGTCGTTCAGTACAGTGCCAAGAGCAGAGTCTGAGCCATATGGGGGTTTCCGAAAATAGGGGACCCTAATATAGTACCCTAAAGAATAGGATCCTTATTATAAGGACCCCCAAAATCAGGTCCCCTAATTTTTGGAAACTCCCATATGGGTAGTTTTCGGGATTAGGGATTAGGACTTAGGGATTGGGTTTAGGGATTCCGGGATTCGGGTTTAGGGTTTAAGCTTTAGGGATTGGGTTTAGGGATTCCGGGATTCGGGTTTAAGGGTTTGTTTAGTTTGGGAATATATGGGTAGTTGTCAAAACTATGGTCCCTTTTGGGGTACCCTAAATAATAGGTGCCGTATTATAATAAGGGGACCATAATTTTGACAACCACCCATATGTGTTCACGATGTTGGTTGAGGTGTGATGCTTTGGTTCCTGAGCCCTAACCTCAGACCCACAACCCTAAACCTCTAACTATCTGGTCTTGGGCATGGATACGTGTTTCGCGCAGGGCTTCTCAGCCCGAACCCTACAACCAGCAGGACTCGAAATCCTGCCGCCGCCCCCACCCCCTCTCCAATCCTGCCTGTCTGGGGCCGTGATCTATTGAGATGCTGAAGCGTTTTACTGATGAACCTCGCCTTCTTTAGCCGAAAGTCAGTATACAAAAACCCATGGAGTTGGTGGTTTACGGTTCAAAGCCCTGCAGCCCCAAACTCTGAAGCCTACACCCCCCCGCCCCCAACCCTACACCCAGAACTAAAACTCCTACCTCAATCCCCACCCAAAAAATAGGTAAATACTGGCCCGACAGCCTCAAAAGGCCATTATGCTACATACTTTTGGGGTCCACCTGGACCCTAAACCTTAAACCAAAGGGGCCGATGAACTCTCCGGATGCTGCAAGCCATGCACGGCTTTTTTTGTTGTAGGCGTCTTCTTGGGTTGGCGCTTGGGGTGTGCAGTAGGTGTGTCAGAGGTTCAGGGCTTAGGGCCTATAAGGATGACTGTATTGTGTCTTTGTTTGATGCAGGATTGTGTGAAATTACGCAGTGCTGCTTCCCAGCTCATCAGCAGAGTCTGGGTTCAAAAAAGGGGCCTGTATAGGGTTTAGGGTTTGGGTGGGCGCAGAGTTGTGACAGTTGCAGATCCTCGAGCGTCGGAGTGGAGGAGTCTGAAGTATGCCCAGCTTGTAGAGCTTAACGCTCCTATCCAAATGTATATATATATATACCACAGACCCATATTTAAGAATATATATATATATATATATGTAACAGACCCGTACTACAACAACACACCCCAGATTCGCAAATTTACCCGGAAGTCCTGTTCTGGTGGCCCTTGTATTATTGGCAGCTTCCATGGCAACTGGGGTCGAAAGGGATGAGCAGTATCACCCAGCCAGAACGACGTGTGTCCCTAAACCCTAGGCAAAAAAACTCTAAACCCTATAAACCCTAAACCCTAAACTCTATAAACCCTAAACCCAACAAACCCCAAACCCCAAACCCCGAAACCCTAAGCCCCAAACCCCGAAACCCCAAACGTCTGTGCAGATTCTGTGGGTTTAGGGTTTAGGGTTTAGGGTCCAAACCCCGAAACCCCAAACGCCTGTGCAGATTCTGTGGGTTTAGGGTTTAGGGTTTAGGGTCCAAACCCCGAAAACCCTAAACGCCTGTGCAGATTCTGTGGGGCTTGCGGCTAATTCCACCACCAACTGGCGGCGTCGTGGAGAGGCCTTGGAGCCTCAGGGACTAGCTGAGAGAGTAGGCATCTGCCCTTTGTTAATGGAGCTTATAGCTCCTATCATTTATATATATATATATATATAATGATTAGTAATAGAGCTTATAGCTCCTATTATTTATATATACATAACATAGTTATATATATATATATTTATTTATTTATACACATGAAAAGTGTTATTATCGTGAGCATGGGACATGGGTCTGTCCCCCTCCAAGACAACAGTCATTCAATCCTCGTGCTGTAGAGGTCCGAAACCGGAAGCCCACGGGTCCTAAACCCGAAGCCTGAACGCCGAACCGTAAGCTGGCGTTATGAGACTTGCGTGTGGATCCGTGCCTGCCTGTGTGAGTGTGCATGTTGAAGCCCTAAACCGTATATATTTGCACAGATGCATCATGGAACACTACGGCCGCATCTTGGACCCGACGATCAGGTCAGTGGGTCCTTGCTTCAGGGGCTTTGGGCGAGGGACTGTCTTTAAGGAAAAGCGAGAAGCCACCCAAAGATCATATAGAAGCGGACTATTTTCGTATGGATTTCTTCAGGGTTCTCTACAAAGCTTGTAGAATATACCCTACAACCCATGCTACTTGTTCCCTAGGTTCGGCTGCCAGGTGCGGTGTCCATACTCTGAGTTGCTGGCTTGTCTTCAACGAGAGGATTGTGGAATTCTCCGACCTCCTTGGGTTTGACCTTAGGGTTTTGGGCTTAGGAGGAAAAGGTTTAGGGTTCAGGGTTTGTTGTTCGTTATATTTTCGTTCCTGCTTAGGGAGCACCAGAAACCCTTCCCCCCAAACAAACTGAGCTAGTTTCGAAACCCAATCTTCCTTTTCAACCCTGACTCCCAAAGCCGAAGTTTCCGTTTTTGCAGACCAAACTTCAGCGTCATCCCTTCACACGTACCCCCACCACATCCTCTTCTACTTGTTGAGTGGCCGAAATCATATATAGTCGTGTTGAGAAAGAACCGGAGGCAGAGACGAGAGATAGAGAGAGCGAGAAACAAACAAAAAAACAGCAAGGCAAGGAGTAAGGAAATGATGACAGAGACAGGTTCAATCAACCTAGTATGTGGTAATTTTACGACCAGCCCTAAACCGTGATCAACATGCCGCTGGAGTGATGAGTCAGGGCAAAATGTGGATGACCAGAGCATGTCAAGTCTGTTTCCTGAACAACCCTGCAATGCGGACTTCCTCCTAGCTAGGCGGGAGGCAAAAAGCCTTAAACCCTAAAACCCTAAACCCTAAACCCTTAAAGCCTTAAGCCCTCTAGACCCTGAACCTTTAAAGCCTTAAACCCTAAACCCTACACCTTTACCAAAACTCCTCACCAAGGAGAGGTCGGCTATGTCTTCAACTGGGCGAACCTCTTCACGCGTGCCCTCTGGGTGCTCGCTGTGCCTATGCGGCTCGGCTCCGCCTACACAAGGGTTCCGAACCTTACGTGTACCCATACAATGTATAAGTGCAAGTCTATATACATTAAGATAAACAGATACATGACTAAATAAGTGAGTGTCGACATATACATATGTATATATACATATATCTATACATGTTGGCCCGATGTAGAAAAGCCTCCTTTTCAGCAATCTCTTTCAGGCTGAAGATCAAACGCCACAGGAACAAGGGACCTTGAGGGTGGTAGACCCCTAATCCCCTAGGATTCCGGGCAAGTTAACAGGGTTTACGGTTTAGGGTTTAGGGTTTAGGGTTTAGGGTTACACCCGACAAGGCCTAAACGCCTAACCCAAGACCACATGATGCTAATTATGTTGAAAATGAGGTTCCTGACCTTAAAGTCCGAAGTCCTCAAGCATTAATCATACAACCCTCCAGCCCTCGACCCTGAAACCTAAGTCTTAAACCCTGCATTCTACGCCCTCTTTGATGAGGCTGATCTTTGGCATACTCGGCGTCGGCCCAGTATCTCGGCGGTCAGAGGGTGTGAAGCACACAACCCTAAACCCTAAACCCTAAACCCCCCTAAACCCTAAACCCTAAACCCTAAACACCTGGAACCCCAAGCACTTCGGACTCAGCCCAAAGTGTCCCATTGCGTACATGGTGCACACTTTAAGGCCTCCGAAAGATCCCTAAATGAATAGAAAGATACTCTAGGGTTTAGGGTTTAGGGTTTAGGGTTTAGGGTTTAGGGTTTAGGGTTTAGTAATACTCTTGGAGCAAAATTGTACTGTAAGTCATGCCGGCACATGAACCCTATTGTAACCTTGCGGTGGTAGGTGTGAGGTTGGACTCTCGGGCGATGCATATGGGGTCCATAAGCGGAGACAAGCTGAAAGATGGAACCATATAAGTTCATATAGGCGTTTGAAACCACAACACCTAAACTGCAAACCCTAACTGCTCAAAAAAGCCCTGATCCCAAAAGTCCTATCGTTTCACCCAAACCTGGAACTTAAGCGCTCTGCAGGGCTTAGGATTTGAGGGTGTGATACTGTGTCTATGTCTCCGTTTGATGAGCTTCTGTGGGGTTAAATTCCTGCTTAGGGGGCCAAAGCCTAGTGTTCTGCAGGATTTTGGGACACAGGGTATAGTCTTATGAAGGAGCAAACAAGGCTCTGGCTTTGGAAGGGCCGCAGGAAGGAGTGCGGTCCGAGGTCTTGGACTTAGACAGGTTTGGTGCTCATTATGGTATACCTGCAATGAGGAATCCTACCGAATAGTACCAGTGATAACTCAGGCCTCTCTAGGATGGAGATTTCAGCCCTCAGAAATCGGACTTTGCTAAATGCCACACCCTCGAATCCTAAGCCTTACAGAGCGCTTCAGTTTCGGGTTTGGGTTAAACCAGTTTAGGCCCATTGGCCTAATCCGCGGAAGTAACTCAGTGCAGACACAACTTTGTGGTTTTAAAGTGTTTCCTGCGTGCTTCAAAGGGGCTCAAAAGGGTTTCTGAAAGGGTTTATGCTCTTCAGGAACACCATTTAGCACTTACGAAGGTGAACCGCCAACAACGGGCTAGGAGAGCCTAACAGTGACCAGAGCCATTGCATTGCTGGTGGCTCCAATGAGGTAGGCCCTGGCATTAAGACCTTCATCCGTGGTTTTATTGCAAGCCTTCCTTAAACCCTCAACGTGACAGCCCAGAGTTGATACGACAGTTCATGAGGCGGCGTCCGAGTTCCGAGAGTTCCACCTTATGTTAGCTTTTGTTGTATTATTCTAGTCGTCTTGTTATTTTGCCCTCAAAATGGTTAGACCGCTTGCTTGGCAGCCCTCATCCCCCAAAATACCAAATCCCTACAGCAGAACCGTTTGGACCCATAAACCTTGAACCCGAAAAGAGCCTTTACATGAACCCACAACTGTCTGATGCTTAGTAGGGAATGAGGGAATGGATCCCTATGATAGTCCCTTAAGGTCCCTTATAGTAGTTCCTAGAACCCATTCCCCCATTCCCTACTAAGCACCAGACAGACAAAGCAACATTTGATAGAAACCTCTGCCTAAACCCTAAACCCTAAACCCTAAACCCTAAACCCTAAACCCTAAACCTAAACCCTAAAAAGTCACCGAAAGCCCAGGGCGACCAGAGCTCCGAGTCGATCCCTTGGTATTGCATCTTGGCCTCTTCAGGGCTCTTGGGGTTTAGGTTTAAGGGTTCAGGGTTCAGGGCTCTTGGGGTTTAGGGTTCAAGGCTCTTGGGGTTTAGGCCTAAGGGGTTTAGTGTTCAGGGCTCTTGGGGTTTAGGGTTCAGGGTTCTTGGGGTTTAGGGTTCAGGGCTCTTGGGGTTTAGGGCTTAGGCTTTGAGGGTCGAGGGCTTGGAGGGACGATAGGAGTTCTGGGGTTTAGGGTTCAGGGTTCAGGGCTCTTGGAGTTTAGGTTTCAGGTCTCTTGGGGTTTAGGGTTCAGGGCTCTGAAGGTGTGGGGTTCAGGGCTCTTAGGGTTTGGGCTTGTTGGGCTTTGAGGGATTGGGGTTGAGGGCTCTTGGGGTTTAGAGCTCTCGCGGTTTAGGGTTCCGGGCTCTTGGGGCTTGGGAACTTTAGGGTTTTAGTGTTCTTAGGGTTCAGGGTTTAGGGCATTTCGGGTTTCGGGTTCAGGGCTTTTTGGGGTTTAGGGTTTCAGGGCTCTTAGGGTTTGTAGTTTAGGGCTCTTAGGGTTTAGCTATCAGGGCTCTCAGTTTAGGAGTTCGGAGGGTTTAGGGAGTTTAGGGCCTACAGGGCCTATAGGCTTTGACGGGGTTATGGCACTTAGCGCTTATAGGGTGGAGCGTTTCAGGGCTTATGGCGCTTGTAGGATTTAGGAATACAGGTTCAATCTTTCCGATTTGATATGTCTAGATCACTGATCACAGGGTGTCCCGGGCTGAAGGTTTAGGTTGCTGCTGATCATGTGCTGCAGGCAACGTTTTGCTGGGGACACGCACGATGTCATCAGGTTCCTCTAAAATGTGCTGGACTGTGTATTAGTTAGCATAGACCATTTCCATTTTCAACCCATGAACCCCCCCTAGCACCCAAACCATTACAACCTATACCTCAACCCTAACCCG